AAATCTTCACTATAGCCTTATAGTGAAGTTGAGATCTAAGACATAGAGTTCGTTATAACAAGAGTTGACTGTATATTCAAAAAAAAAATAATAATGTATAATTTATTTAAATCTAAATTTAAAAATCTGAATCTAATAAATTGAATTTAAATTTAATAGATCTGATTTAAATTTAAATCTTAATTTAACAGATCAGATTAAATCTAAATCTAAATTCAAATTGATTTGAATTTGATTTGTTAGATTCAAATTAGATTTAGATCAATCTAAATCTATATAAATATTAGTTATTGATATACATTATATCTAAAAAGTTAAGTTTTCAAATTACATAGTAAAAATAAAATTTGAAAGAATGATATAGAATGATAGTATTTATGTAAATTAATTGGGGAGTTTTTTTTAATATAATATTTATTTTTTTAAAATATAATTTTAAAGCATAATTTTTTTCTTTTAATATAATTTTGTAATAAAATAATTTAATAAATTAATAATATAAAAAATTATTTGTCAAAAGTTAATAAAAATTTACAATATTTTTAAGTAAAATTATTAATTTAAAATCAATTGTTTTTTTTACATATATTAAAATTTAATATTTTCATTCGTTTTTTTATGATAGAAAATTTTTCTATATACAGTAAATTATTAAATTTTAAGTATTTAAATATTACATATATTTATATTAAAAAAAAACTGTTAAAATAATAAATTTGCATATTAATTGGTATGAAAAACATTGCCCGTAGATGACAATCAGAATTAATGATTACATAAATCAGTAAACTAACGAAAAAACTCAAATCTGACATATGGAGATCGTCAATCCATCTTTTGTATTTGTCAAGTGACATAATATTTATTCTTTCAACAAAAATGTCCAAGACTAATTAAAAATATACGAAATATATTTAAAATCAAGGAAACAATATAATTTTATTAAATCCTTTGACATAAAACAAAAATCTTTATTCTATTATATTTGAACTAATATTCAAAAATGCGAAAAATAAGAATAGCATTAGTTTTGTTAGACTGGATTCGCTCAAAAGATCCATTAACAAATTTAGGACACGCATCTATACTTTCTACTTTACAAAAATACAATTCACATCGAGTAATATTTTTAAATAATCATCGATATTCCGTTAAAAATTGTTTAGATGTAGATGGATTTAGTGAAAATGTCGTAAAAAATTTAGTAGTTGATGAACCAGATTTAATTTTAAAAAAATTTAGAAAGAGAATGAAGCAGGTAGATCATGTATCAATTGGGTTTGCTGGAAAAGGAAGTGGGAAAGGTAAGATAATGATTGATTATCTTCGTAAACCATTAATTTTATTAGGAGGTCCTCAGGTATGTAAGCTCTCTAGCATAAATTATTATGTAATTTCAAAATTTCATCATCATTCTTATAAACATAATATAGATTTCTTATGCGCCAATTAATACGCTAGAGAATTATTATCCAGATGCTGACTTATTTATTCGTGAATATGCCAAAAAAGCATTTTCTCAGGTTGTAGAAACACTTTTAACTCCCAACACGTTAGAAGAAGTCAGTATGAGGTCTTTGCAATATCCAATCACACACCAAAATTGTTTTCTTCAATCTATATCAACGTCATTGAATACTTCAATGGTTTCTAACGCTTCAACAGCTCTGTTACATAAAATTAAAGAGTTACATCAATGAGGACATCCTGATTTAGGATTACAAGCCACTGTAGATATGACTTCTCTTCTGTCTCCTTTCTTACCTATAGAACCTTTAGAGAATAATTCTAACTCTCAAAGTAATTTAGTGAATTCTCCCGTTATTTCTTTAAATAATCGATCATTTATAAGATGGGAAACCCAACGTGAATGTCCATTCAAATGTACATTTTGCCAACATCGTGATTCATATACAGACAGACAACCACTTTCTACACTACGGACTCTTTCCGAAATTTAAGCGATAACAGCATCATCTGTGAATGACATAGCGGTTCTCGATCCCACATTTAATTCCAGTCCAAATTATTTATCAACATTAGATAATTTAATAAAATATAAATACAAAGGAAAATTATCTTTACAAACTCGATTTGAAATTATTAAACCACAATTTATAGAAAAATGTTCAGTGCTCGTTAATGAAATAAATACAAATATTCAATTAGAATTCGGTGTGCAAAGTATAATTAAACAAGAATCATTAATTATTCAACGAATGAATAATTTAAAATCAGTTAAAGAAAATTCTTTATGATTAAACAAACATAATTTGAAATTTGAAATTTCTTTGATTTATGGATTACCATTTCAGACTATTGAGAGTTTTAAAGAAAGTATTAAATTTGTTAAAGAGTTGGGCGCTGAGAGAGTTGTTGCATGGCCTTTAATGTTACTGAGAGGTACTGAATTGGAGAAAAGAAAAGATGAATTGGGATTGAGAGAAGAAGTTTTGAGTAGTGTGAATTTGGATAGTGAATTACCTAAAGAATGAATTAGCGAAGGTATACCATATGTTGTAGAAAGTCCATCATTTACAAAGGACGATTGGAAAGAAATGATGAGAATCGCTCATGAATTAATATAAGAAAAACTAAACATTGGGTATATTTAATTTTGTGGCTTAAAGCAAAAAAAAAAATTAAGCCACAATACAGAACTAACATGTAAGGAGGAATTTAGAGGAAAAATAGCCAAACTATTATAAATCATACAAATATTAATAAGAAACTAATACTTGTTATTGTATTTAAATGATGGTTTAAATGTCTTAAATATTATCCCTTATCCCTTAATATTTACTTCTTTTATGTTGAGGAATTCTATTCTTATAACAACGCATTAATAAAAATATAAATAAATCTTTTACATATATTTTTCTCAAATATAGAATCTTTAGCAAAATGTGTATTATTTTGCAAATTTGAATTTAATACTCAGGACTATTTCATAAACAATAAAATGCAAAGTATAATTGTACTGATGTATCGAAGCATATCATTTGATTTCCTGCTACTGAAAACTAACTGATTACAACAAAATTATGCAAGTAATAAATTTCAATTCTACAGAAAAATGCAATACATTTACTCCACTGAAATTATACTCTATTTTATTAAAGTAATTATTCAATCTTATGTAAATTTGGCTCTTTTATATTTAAAAAATTTTTTAATAAGGTTATCAATCTTTTAACTTCAATAAGAAACAATCCTTTATTAAGCAGCTAATATAAATATAACATATGCTTATTATTTTATTGCATTTGATGGAATACTCAAAAACTTATGAAGTTAAATTTATTAAGCAATCTTAACATCACGTGTGATAAATTTTAATTTACAAATTAAATCAATACAATTTTAACATAGATCTTAATCTGTTTCATGTAAAGTATATACTATTGAATTGGTATACTGCTACATTAAATAAAGGAGAAAATACGTTTGAAATTTTAATTTGTATACCTATTTTATAATCTTTTTATAATCCTACTTATTGCTAATAATATATCCAAATCTTTACAATTTTATTTCTTGGTTTAAATATATTTTTATTCTTTAAATTTTTATATAACTTAATATTCAACACATTTTTTAAATATTTTGTATAAAAAAATAGTTAAATTAAAAATTTTAATAACTAAAAAAATATTATTAAAACTTTACATATAACTTTATTTAAGTATCAAATTTCTAATAATATTCTTATATTATATATAAATTTGCTATTATTTTATAATTAATAATATATATTAAAATTGATTCATTAGCTAACAAAATACATTTTAATAATTTATATAATCAGACTTTCTTTAACTTCTAATATTATTATATTAAAAGTAAAGTATTAATAAAAATTTTGATAAATATTACTAAAAAAAATATACATTTAACACTCTGTTACATGTCTTATCTGTAATAATCTCAGAATTTATCACATGACATTATACTGATTTTAAAAAAAAGAAATTATATTTCCTATTAAAATGTTTTACACAAGAACTATACAAATTTTCAAAATAAAAATATTTGAGTATATCATTAATTCTGATCAGAATTATACTTTTTAATGCTAAATTTTATAATTATTAATTTATATAAGTAAATTAACTAGAATTAGCTAGAATTAATATTAATTTTAGTATTTAAAATTTGTAATAGATTATACTAATAGGCAATAAATAAAGGTGTAATAAATATGTTAACATTAATCCAAAAAATAAGTTCTCTAAAATTATAATAAAATTAAAACGTAGTATCATATAATATATTAACAAACAGATAAATATTATATCTTTTTAATATAATAATTATCAGCATAATCTATTATAAATTTTAGATATATATTAAAATTTAGATATGATATAAATTATGATGTATAATAATATGTTATTAGAAAAGTTTTAATAGATTAGAATTCTAATATTATGTCAATTATTGATTACTATATATAATTATTTTACTAACTTGAAACTTTTAATACTATTTTCATATTTGCTTAATTTTTATTTTGTCTTTATTTTACAAGTTTTTTATTCTTACAATTAATAAAGTATTATTATTAAGATTAAAGTTCTAATATATCAAGTCTGATCAGTTAGGTATTTAATTTAATTTGATATAAAATATCAGATTATAAGTTAGTCATAGATTATATAAAAAAATAAAAAAATAATTTTTTTTGAGATATCTTGTATTTAGTAATCGATAAATGATATATTAAAACTTATTGGATTTGTCTCAATATGACAAATTAAATAATAGCTATTTCCTCTTAAATGAATTAATATTAATAAAGTTATATTTTATTTTGTATTTATATATTAATCTATAATACATATTTTAAAATTTTTATATGATAAAATTAAATGAATAATATCTTAGCAATTAGTGATCTAAAATTAATAAAATATAGCTTATTTAATTTATCTTATAAGAAAAATCGAATAGTACTTATTTTATCTCAAATGAATTAATATTGATAGAGTAATTAAATTTTGAATTTTTTAATTAAAAAATTCAGTCAAATTAAGTTAAGCTAACTATCTAACTTGATTTAGCCTAAATTACTTTTAATTAGAGTATTATAAAATTATTTAAAATAATAATACTATTAAGACTATCTATTATTAAATATTATTATTACTTTTTCTTATCATTAATAATAATATTAAGTTATGATTTGTAATTTAGGCTTTTGTATCTGACAAAATAATAAAGTCTTATAAACAGATCTCAGAATATATGAAAAATATAATAATAACTGAATTATTAATATTTATTATAAATACTGATTTTATCATATATAAAGCAGTTGTATAAATATATAAAAATTACTTAATTAATTGTATTTTTTATAAGCATAGCGGAGCTTTCCTATTTTATCATATAAATGTCGATCATTTTGCTAATCATTTGCCAATTATTTTTTAATTATATCACATTCCGTTATCTATTAGTAAATTAAAAAATTCTATATATTAATGCATCCCCAAAATTTTAATAACAATTTATTTTATTCTAAATTTTAATTGATTCATGTTTTTATTCCAAT